GTACTATTTGTATTTCTTGCTTTTGAGTTTAATTTAATATACTTTTTAATGTTTTCATGCAGTTTATTAAATAAAGTCGTTCATACTTATGAAGATCAAAAAAATTGTTTGCGCTCATTTCAAACAATGTGTACTTTGCAACGCGTATTTTGATCCTAATTTCGATCCATGTATGTGCGTCTCATGTAGGGAATCAATCAAAGTCGTTCCACGCTCTGGATCTTGCATTGTATGTTCCTTGAAAATATAGTATTTTTATAATTAAAAATTTACATTAACATCATTCCATGTATTTTGATATCATATTAATTTTCATTTATTTTAATTCTTGCAAATATAGTATATTTATAGACTTAAATGTTCAAACCAAATTGAAAAAAATAATCTTTATATATTACGAAATTTATATTTTTATTATTAAAATACAAAAACAAATGTATGTATATTTCATATATTTTGAATTTTTTCTAAAATTTGGATATGCATTTATTATATAAATAATTTCTCTATAATATGTATATTATATACCATAATATCATAAGTTTTTATCATTTCAATATATGATAATATCATAATAAGTTAAGTTTATTGCGAGATTTTTTGATAATATATACGAATTGCATAATATAAACTATGCATGGTTTTCATATTTTGCATGATATCTATTAATATGTCTGAGTCATTTCCATATTTTATAATATATATTGTGCACGTTTCTTCCATTTAATGTTTCATGAATTATTTAATTAATAAAACTAATTTCTTTTATTCTAATTTATTTTTTAATTTCTGATATAATTAGTTCTATTATATTTTTTCAAGTCTTCCAATATTTTAGAATGAAAATAATTCGTGTAATAAAATAAAACACGTAAAAATTCAAAATCCGAAAGTAAATTAGACATTTGAGATTTCATATTAAAATTAATATCATCTAATAATTATTGTAATGCAATAACTATTTAAATATACATACTATTAATTTTCTTTTATTTAATTTCTGATAAAATTAGTTCTACTACTATCTTATGCATTTTTATATTTTAATGTAACAAATTAATCAATTATCCGGATTTCAAATTTTATATAATTTGAATATTTAAGTTTTCCTTTTAATATGTTGCCAAAATACTCTCCCAATTAATTTAGACTTTGAATGATTACTTATTTATGATGATTTCTTTTAGTTATCCAATTTTGGTAACTTTTTTTTTTCAATCAGTGGCATATGGGGCATGTGTATATTCAGTTATGGTATCCGATTTTGATTTGAGTTGAGTTTTGGAACCAATATGGTATATGGTATATGTATATTCACTTATGTATTGTATTTAATGATTTTGTTAATATTCAATTACTAAAATCCGAAATGTGAGGACTTTTGATCATATTTTTTTATTATTTTTTTGTTTCACTTTTATTGCCGCCCATGACCAATTAATTTGAAATTTGAATTCATAAAATTTCCTAAACGATATATCATAATCAAAACTATATAATCCCCCATTCATTTTATTCACACTACCCCAACCCTTTTCTACACATAGTATAATGTACATTACATTGAATTTAATTTTTTTTGTTTATATTTTTTGTGCATTTTTCTTCTCTTATTTTTTGTTGGTATTTATATGTTTATGTTTTCGTAATTTTTTATATAGGTTTTTAATTCCATTTGATATTTTTATTTAGTTAAATAATAACATGTTATATGTTTTATGCTTTTCTTGCACAGTATTTTCACGAATCCAACTTCGATCATACATAATTCATCGAAACGGGTTTGCTTACATTTTTTATTTACAATTATTTATTTTATTATTCAATAATTTTTATAATACGAATATTTTATTATATAGTTTTCTATATTTTTTTTTTAATTTTCTATTTATTTATTTGTATCATTAACACAATTTGATATATATTTTTTTTTTTGTTATACAGAAGTGACAAAATTTAGCCACTTAGTTGAGGCCAAATCATGTGCACTTGTGCAACTATTGAAAAATAGACAAAAATATATAGTGGAATTGCCCAGTTACGTTGTTTGAGTGGAAAATACAAAGCATACAGGTACATATACAAATTCACGGAATAAATGAGACTATAAAGAAATTAGAAATGCAAAATGGGATTCAAGGAAGTTTGACTGCAACATTATATGAAGTATGAACGCCATTGGCCCATCCTTTAATTTGGCAAAGCTACTATTAGGCTTATTTTCCCATTTTTTTTAGTAGGTTACAAAATTTTATATAAGTGTTTACCGCACTTTGATTATTCATGGTAAATAGTTTTAAGATTATATATTATTCCAATCGATTAAGACAAGTCTTTCGTATATACGTCAATTTTTTTGTCTACATGATTCAATTTTAAAGAATCTATCACATTAAATGCTATATTATATTATAAATTTTGTTAGTATCTTTATTCACTTAATAATGTTTCGATGAGAATTACTATTTCTTTACATTCGTTTGACATTCACTCGTCATTATCTACTTTCTGTTTCCTTTATTTTTTTCATGTTGGAATTAGTGCCGCTCCAATGAGTTTTTTTAACCTAGGTAATTTTATATAAATTGTATTTATTTTACATTTGTAGGTGATTTATTATTCAGTAATGTGCACGACAGAGAGAATATGAACAATGCAAAATGTGTATGTTACTCACAATGTATTAGATGAGGTGTAAACGATTTCAATGCATGTATAAAATATCACTTTGATAACTAAATTTCATGTTAAGGCTTCGAGTGCATTGGGCGAGATAGTTTTACGATTTGGGTCAGATGAGGTATTGTATATTTTATATCACAAGTATTTATTTTATATTTTATTTTATTATTTATTATTTTTGTTTAAGTTTTGTATTTAAATCATATGGAATGGATATTTTTTTTGTTTTGGACTATATCATATTATATATCAATTAATTAAAGTTTTTACTATATTATTTCATTTAAATGTATTTTCATTGTTCGTGACCGTAGCTTCGTGTTATATTTGACCAACATTCAGATTAATGTACAAGAGTCATTCATTCGATTCCCCACTTGGAGTTGGTTGTGGCATTTCGGCGTGGATGGTTTGTACAAAATTGCCATTTTATATTTATGTAGACTTTTTGGCGATGATATAAAATACGAAATTGTTATTTTTTGTTCGGTCGTATTCGATTTAAATCCTCGACCCTTTTTTAGTTCGGTGATTTTTTAGAATAATTTCTTTTGATCTAAAATTTCATTCCGTGCATCGCACGGGTGAGATACTAGTAAAATGAAAAAACAAAATGAGACTTCTTAAAATAACTAAAAAAATCATAAATATTATTTGAGTATGATTAGGTATAAAATTCAATATATGGGGGGCAATTTCATTATCATCTCTAAGTTTTGGGTTATTTTTATAAATAATAATTTTAAGCTTGATATCAAGTTGTTTAGAAAAAATAGGGGTGCGAAGATTTGTTTTTCTTTGTTTTAATTACTCTAATGATAATTAATATATTGAATAATAATTCTAAATAGTTAATATTAATGGCAATCCAAAACAAACAAACAAAATTCTTGTAAAATAAATTAAATTAATGCATTAATAACTAAATAATTTTAGCAACGATAAATACAATTGCAAGTATCGCTAAGTAGACATTCTCCTCGTACACCAACAGCATCCGGTAACGCTCTCTTGCATTTGTGATTGCAAAGCTCTATGCTGCACGTATCTCCAGCGCGTCCCAGAAAAATTTGTTTCGAACAAACTCTCACCTTATTTTCAATAGCACCTGCAAAAAGAGAAGAAAAAAAACATAAATTTACATATATAGCGTGTATGCATTTATTAAAAGTTATATATATATATATATATATATATATATATATATATATATATATATATATATATATATATATAAAAGATAAAAAAATTAACCTTGACAAAGTAGAACTAGAAACATAAGAACAACGAGGCGAAGTAAACTCTTCATGATTTAATTATTTGCTTGTAATTTTTCGAGTTTGAGATGTGTTTTTGATCTCTAGAGACGACCTTTATTTATAATTGGAGGGAAGATAGTTAATTTTATAAAGTGAATCAATTTGATTTAGTTGTCCATAATTTCATAATTGTTATTTACTTATTTAATTACTATTTAATTAGTAGAGATGATTTTGAAATACCATAAGTATGAATTATTTCCTTCGGCATCTGATTTGCAGTATTAACGAATTGCAACAGAATATTGGATTCATAATTTTAAAGGGTAAATAGCACTTAAGTCCATGTAGTTTGAGCTTTGTGCACACGAGTCCCTTGTGATTTTAATATAAGTACATGACATCCGATTTGAATTTTGTGCAGATAATACCTCATACTTTTAATATAACTACATAATCCACTAGGCATATAATCATGCTCGTTAGAAGAGGAATTTTTTGAAAGTACAATAGAGTTATATGCTTATATTAAGATAAAGGAGGTCATGTGTTGTATTGAAAGTATAATGGGGCATTTTGCACAAAGTTCAAACTATGTTGGGAGAAGTGTTATTTACCCTTTTTTAAATAAGCATACACTTTAGAGAAATTTGGGCAGCTTTTTCAACAAATCCTTTTTGCCGGACCAATCTCCAATAATAATAATAATAATAATAATAATAATAATAATAATAATAATAAGAAGAAGAAGAAGAAGAAGAAAAGTGAAAGAGAAATACATATATGCTATCATTAATCTTTTATTTATTTATTAAGGTCTCGAAATCATTCGAACTTAATGGCAATCCAACATAAAAACTCTCGATCAAGTTATTTTAATTATTAAATCAATAGCTATATTATTTTAGCAGCGAAAAATACAATTGCAAACATCACTCTCAATACAAGTTGCTCGTACGTCTCTACTTCCCTCCAGCGCCTTTTGACAAAGTGGAGTGCAAAGCTCTACACTACATACAACTCCAGGCGCGTTTAGGTAAATTTGTTGCGTACAAACTTTTGCCTTATTTTCATTCTCACCTGCGAAAAAAGGAAAGAAAAAATTAACTTTACACATATAACATTTATGTGTTTATTATAAATAAAATATAAATATACATTTAATTTTGAGAAAACAACAAAACTTGTCTATGCTTGACGAATGATGTGATTTAAATTGCTACAAAAAGAAAATCGGTGTAAAAAAATTACCTCTACACAATAGGACAAGAAACATAAGAACGACGAGGCGAAGTGAGCTTTTCATAATTTTGAATTTTTTTCTCTCTAATTCTTGAAGAGGACTTGAGTTTATGTGTATGAGGTTGAAATGATTGTATTTATAAATAAAAAGAAACCATAGAAGATTTATCTAATTTTCTTATTTGTTTAATCAATAAATGTAGGATTCATACATTTGATTTTCCATATACTTAATTTATAAGAATTGATGTAATCATATCAATTGTACATGATTTCCTCTTCACCATATCTGGGTCAATTAAGCAAAAAAGTTCAAGAATTTTTTTTATGGTAAATTAGGATATCCCTGAACTTATGTTAAATTATAAGAAATACCCTTATCTATCCGTAATTATTAAAATCACCTCGATATTTGTTTCGTCTTTTTTTTTTTTTTAATTTTCGTCTTACACCGACCCCCTTATGGTGTGATTTCTAATGGAAAATTTTTGATTCCAGGAAATGTTTCCCGAAAAATTTCGATTCCACCCATAGACAGCCGTAGAACAGATTGAAGGTAGAGCCATGTAAAGGTGTATAAATAATGCATATGTATGATATGATGGTTCATACTAGCAATCGAAAAAGTAATGGCATTAGAATGTGATGTTCCAGAAAATGAGATTGTTGCAGAACATATACTAGGGTCACTTACATTTAAGAGACCATCGTTCTTAGAGGTAGAAGCGGCATTTTCCGGTAAATATTCCTGAAAAAAAAAATTCCATAAAAAATCACACTATAAGGGGGTTGGTGTAAGAAAAAACAAACATTAGGGGTACTTTAGTAATTACGGATAGGTGAGGGTACTTTGCATAATTTAACCTATGTCCAGGGGTGTTTTCGTAGTTTACCCATTTTTTCTAATTAGTGAACGAGAAATCGGATAGGATTCCACATAATTAAGCCTAAATATTTAGAACGAAATTTCTCACATAATTAATTGAAAAAATCGTCTTCCAATATATTGATATTTGATTCAAATCAAATAATCCGATCTTAGTTTTGGGCATCAAATCATCATTTTTTTATTGTCAACTTTAAGAGGTGTTTGGTGATTGCATATTGTAAAGACCATGTAAAGACCACGTATTCGATGATTTTAGATTTATTATAAACTCAACTCGATGAGGCAGCTCGACAAAAACTCAACTCGAGCTCATGTTTTTCGACTTCCAACTTTCTGACGAGCACAAGTTCATTTCTAGTTGTTCATATGCTAACGAGCCCTTTTTTCTAATTTTTTTTATATTCATTATAAATATAAATAATATCTATTATAATTAAAAATATAAAAATATAACAATCTATAAATATAAAAAATTTACATAAATTTTAGTTCGTGTTTTACTTTAAAATTTAATATAATAATAATAAAAATAGTTTTCGTATAAAAAATAATCAAATGAGTTTACCTCGATGAGGTAGAGCTCGTCAAATTCGTCTCGAGCTCAAAAAATCTATCAGGCTCGATTTTCTCTTTGACGGTGAAATTAATGGATGGTGAAAGAGTCGATTTACAAAAAAAATATCAATAATTTTTTTGTAATTAGATAACGAGAAATCTGATGTTATTCCATATTTATTCGCCTAATTATTTAAAATAAAAAGAAACAAGAAGACCTTGCATAACTAATTGAGAAAATCGTCTTTCGGTTGACATTTATTTAATCAAATATTTTAAATTATTTCCTATCACTTTATGATATTTGATTGGCTCGAAAACTATATATTAAAGCAATGTTTTTAAACTCGGACCAGGCATCGAACCGGGATTTTAAATAATGTCTCTCTCTAACCTTTTCGTATTTAATGGCAATAATAAAAAAAAGGGGTCATGGTCCAATTTGATTTTTATTTATTACATCAATAAGTATATGATTTTAGCAACGATAAACACAATTACAAGTATCACTTGCGATACAGTATGCTCGTACATCAGCGCCTTCTCCTACCGCCTTTAGGCAGATTGGGGTGCAAATCTCTGTACTACACACGATTCCAGGACTTTGTAGGGTAATTTTGCTGGAACAAATTTTTGCCTCACCTGCGAAAAAGGAAAAAAAAACATAAATTTACATGTGAATTTATGCGTTTAATTAGAACCATATACTAAACAACATTTAAATTTTGAGAAATTAAATATAGAATTTCATAACGACGAATGTATGTGATTTAAATATCTAAACAAAAAAATATTAACCTCTACAAAGTAGAACCAGAAGTAGAAGAAAGACGAGGGAAAATGAACTTTTCATGATTTTAAGGGGGTTTCGATTTTTCTACGTAATTCTTGAAGGGGGTTTCGGTTTGTATGTAATAGATGAAGATGGTTGAATTTATAGGTAAAAAGATATAATTGATAGCAGATTTTTCTAATTTTTTTATTTGTTAAATTAATAAATAAAATTAAAAGATTTTCCATATAAATAAAATCATGTCACTTATACTTGATTTCCTCTTTGACTGTCATTAACTGGAGGGTGAAAGAGTCAATATAGAAAAAAATCAATATTTTTTTGTAATTAGATAATTAGAAATCTGACGTGGATAATGTGATGCCATTTATAGGCCAAATTATTAAACTAGAATAAATAAAAGGTCCTCAAAAAATTAATTGAGAAAAACTTCTCCCAATTGATATTTAATTTAAAAGCAAATATTCAGATAATCAATTTATGTACATAACAAATATCTATAATTACACCCACCCCTGAAATTTGTAAATTTCTTACATCAACACCCTTCTGTAGGGAGGTGGATGTAAGAAATTTAAAAACTTCAGGGGACTGGATGTAATTTCTCAAAAAGAATGGATTTTTTTTTATAATTACTTATAATTTACTCTAATTATTTAATTATTTTGCAATATATTGACAAATTGTGCCCCTAATCAAAGAGGTAAATATTTCTGTTACTCATAGAAAATTTGCTTAAAAAAAAAAAGCCCAACATATAACGAAGCCCACGTGTTAATTTTCAATGATCAAAATGTATGAACCCAAAGCTTCTTATCTTGAAATTATGTATTAATTAAAAGTATATATGATTTATGAGGGTCAATTTTTTCTTTATGAAACATATTCATTATAACTTAATTAATTAATACAGTTGATACTAGCAATTAGTAATTTAGTAGATTTTGACTGAGTCAGAACCGAAAAAGACTATTATTTAAGTGAGATTATTAATTTATTGAGGTTGTACTGTACTAATTTATTTCCTTCTATCAATGTCCTGAGTAGAAATTTATACTATAAAGATGGGCTTAATTATTTCGACGAATTTGTTTTTAGGATTATTTTTGCATAAATTATCCAGAAATAAGGAAAATATATGTAAACTTTAAATGAAGTAGCATAAATTGAATTCTTGGGATGGGTTCGATCGAGACAACGACAATATTAACCCCGATAAGCAGAGTATAGAAAAGAAGAGGGCAATTGAGCAAATAATACCAACTATGTTGTTTTTCCTTTTTTCTAATTCAAACCAATGTTTTATACTGATAAAAAAAAAAAAAAAAAAAACCAATGTTTTATAAGGTTTTACCTTACTTGACCCTTGAGTACTTATATGTTTTCATATAAAAAACATAACATAAATTATATTTATGAAATTGAAAATACATCATAAAATGATATTATCAATTTCCGGATAATAATTGGAATATTCATAATCAGAATATCCAGTAATATACAATTTCAATTCCGTTCCAAAAAAATCGAAAAAAAATTCAGAAATCTCGAAATGAAAAATATGGTTCTAACTTTGGATACTTTCAAATCGAAATTGACGTAATTTGGATATTCTGTTACAATTTCCATTCCCAAAGTGAAACATATAAAATACCAAGTAAATCGGATCGAAAATCAGAATCCTCGAAATGAAAATATAGTTCTAACTTCAAATATTTTCGAATCGGAATTGGCGGAATCCAAATATTCTGTTAAGAATTTTCACGATATCTTTAATATAATTTATAACACGGTATCTATATATAATTTTATATATATATATATATATATATATATATATATATATATATATATATATATATATATATATATATATATATATATATTAATAATTATTAATTTGAAAAGAAAATGAGAAGAAAACATATTACTCGAGAGTCTCCAGTCAGCAGTAACAAATAAGAACCCTTTTCGTTTTCTTTCCTCTTTCCTTCTTCTTCTTCTTCTTCTTCTCACTGATCGATAAATCGAAATGCAGAAACCCTAGATTTTCAAAAACAAAAATAAACAATTAACTAGGTTGCCTGAAAATGAATTGTTGGCTATTGTAGTTCGTGGGTTGAGCGGTTATTCGAGAAATACAGAGATATATACATATTAACTGAAAGTTTCTTATGTTCGATTTTGGTAATTTAAATTATTGAATTTTACTATTTTTTTTGAATCGATGGCTAGGCGGCATGGGTGGCAACTTCCTGCTCACTCCTTCCAGGTATTATTATTTATTTTTTAATTTTTAATTTACTTTTTATAATCCTCGTTTTACTGTGTTTTGGTTGAATTTTTAAAAAATAAAATATGGGTTTCTTTGATTATTGGAATGCGGGTTGTTGTTTTAAATGTTTGCAGTTTTTTCGATGTGTTTACTGTCGATTTGAGTAGTTAGTTTGTATGTATTGTATTGAATTACGAATGTTTCGAAACTCGAAACCAAGTGAATTGAGGAAATTGAAGGTGTAGTATTGGAAATTTGAGTTGAGAATTAGGTCAACTTTGATCTCTGCAGATATGTTGTGTAATTCGAGATCTTCGACTTTTTTCGTGCCCTTCAATTTATATTGTCTCTAGTTTTTACAGTGTTGAGTTATATTCTTCGACAGGGAGTAATTTGTAATTGCCTGTATTACATGTAGGTTGTGGCTATAACGGTTTTTTTCCTATTATCGGTTGCTTTCTATGCATTTTTTGCTCCGTTTCTCGGAAAGGACATTTACGAGTACTTAGCGACAGGAATTTATTCCTTCCTAGTAAGTGCCGTCGGAGCTCAAAAATTCTTATTTTCTTTAATAATGTTTTCTGTTCGTATTAATTTCTAATTATTAATTTACAGGCACTCTCTGTATTTATACTTTACGTGAGATGCACCGCTATTGACCCTGCTGATCCCGGAATCCTCGTCGAAGTCGACAAGTCATCAACTTACACATCACATATCGGGACAGAGTTGCCTGGTAAGTCACTTGAACGTACGGTTTTTAATTTATTTTCCAGTATTGTTTTTGCAATGAAAGTATAAGTCAATTATCTTTGTGATCTCGAATTTTTTTTTTAAATAGTTTGATGAATCTTGATTAGGTAATTTATCTACGAATGAAGAGCCAACTAAATTAGGATTAAAGAATGGAGGAAAATTGAACAGCCATGATGGAGGTTGTTGTTCGAAAATTGGAGGTTGTCTTTGCTGTTTCATTGTGAAGAAGGATTGCCGTAAAGACGAAGATCTTGAAAACGGGGAGGAAGATGCTTTGTTCTGCACACTGTGCAATGCTGAGGTTTAGTAGCACTTCTTAAAGCTCAGTTAATTCAAAGGGATATATATATATATATATATATATATATATATATATATATATATATATATATATATATATATATATATTTGTTTGTGTGTGTGTGTGTGTAAATAAAAAATGTGTTGATAAATTATCTTAATGTTTTTATCTTTTTATTTCTGTTTCACAGGTTCGCAAATTCAGTAAACATTGTCGAAGTTGTGACAAATGTGTTGATGGATTCGATCATCATTGCCGGGTTAGTTTCGATTTTCCAGCTCGAATATATATAGATGACTGCGTGCTTTATAATGACCCAATTATTCGAGTAATATAATCCTAATTCGATTTTATTTCAATACTTGCAGTGGCTAAATAATTGCGTGGGCAGGAAAAACTACATTACGTTTATATGCTTAATGGCTGCAAGCCTTTTCTGGGTAATTTTTATTAACCGTTATTACATATCTTCGTAATCTCTTCTTTCATATATATATATATATATATATATATATATATATATATATATATATATATATATATATATATATATATATATATATATATATATATATATATATATATCGGTTTTCTCCTCTAACAAAAAAATGTGCCTTTTGTGTGCCAGCTTGTATTTGAGTGTGCAGTGGGGATTGCGGTTCTTGTTCGTTGTTTTGTCGATAAAAAAGCTATTGAGAATGAAATCGTTGATAGGCTTGGTGACGGATTTTCTCGCCCACCCTTTGCTACTGTGGTGGTATATATTATTTTCACTACTCCTTCCGTTTCTTTTTTGAGTGCCGTGTAAATTTTTGCCCGTATTAAGCGTCACTTTGGAGTTCCGAGGCAAAATCAAATTTTTTTTTTACGCAAATGATAGATTGATGAAGTGTGAAAAACGAAAATTCAAAAAAAAAAAAAAGAAGTGTGAAAAACGAGAAGAGTGAGAAGCCACAAAGGGGTAATATGGTCAAATACATTTTTTTAATTTCCTTATCAAGATCACTTAATAACTTTCTTTATTAGTGTGAATTTACTTTAAACGACACTTCAAAAGAAATGGAGGGAGTATTTATTTGCTCTGCCACTCGTCAGATCATTTCATGCGTGGTTTCTTTTAAATTCTAGGGTCTCGTTTTGTTTGTATGATTAGCAATGATTAATTAAACAATTAGGTCGTAGTCGATATTTGGTTATTGCAATAACTTTTTAAGCTCGGCTCGCAATTACGGAAAATGGTCTTTTTTTTTTTTTTAAGGGAATCGTGTATCGGAACTCCCCTAATCCGATTATACAATTGGGTTCTCATAAGATTGCATCATCTCGTCATCGTTGGAACCAAACGAGGCCTTATAATTATAACTACCCCCGAATAATATTTGTTATTTTTTCTCTCTTTCAGGCTCTCTGTACATTCGTGTCTTTTCTCGCAACCGTGCCGTTGGGAGAATTGTTCTTTTTCCACATCATTCTTATCCGAAAGGTGCACATTTGTAGGCCCAAAGTCATACACAATATAAGCTCGCCTCTTTTCATTATTATCATTATATATAATACTTATAAAATACCGTTTTGTTTTAGGGTATCACAACGTATGAATTTGTGGTTGCTATGAGAACTCAAAGCGAACCACCGGGACCTTCAGTCGACGGTGGAGATCAAGATCAAGATGAAGAGCAACAACAAAGTTTGCCTTCTTCACCGACGAGTTCTGCTGTCACTGCCGTTAGCGGCAGAAGCTCCGTCGGAATGGGGTTGCAATATAAAGGCGCTTGGAAGTGTACACCGCCCCGGATATTTATGGATCATCAGGTATATATTTATATTTATATTTAAATAAATTGTTCGATAATTATTAGTTTACTTATTGCTCTACTTTGGTGTTCTGTTTTTCTTTAGGACGAAATCGTCCCTCACCTCGAGCGGGGACGACTACCATCAACAGTAGACCCAGACTCAGTGGACAAGGGCAAAAGAGTCATTCAACAGCGCCCGGTCAGAATCAGCGCATGGAAGCTCGCTAAACTGGACTCAAACGAGGCAATCAAAGCAGGCGCTAAAGCCAGAGCCTCGTCTTCCGTCTTACGCCCTGTAGGTTCGAAACCCCACCACTATGAAGACTACTCATCGGGCAAGAGCAGCCCCACCACCACCACCACCACCACCACGAGACGCGGAAATTACGATAATAACCCCGGGTCCAACAAGAGCTCTTACCCTCCCAGTCGTGCCAGTAGGGACGAAACCGACATGAGCAACTTGAGCAGCAGCCCGGTCGCCCCGAGCCACAACAGCCCGCTGGACCGCCACTTCAACCCCGTGTACCAGCAGTCGCCAGCTGGCGGTGCTGACGTGGCAAGGGCCCCAGCTGGAAGGGGCGGTCCGGGCCCCGCTTCTGTGTATTGGGATCCGGAAGCGGGTCGTTTCGTATCTTCTGCGGGCCGGGTTTCGGGTACGGAGCTTACGTATACGGGTCAATCCATTTTCTTCGGTGGCCCGCTTGTGAACGAGGGTGGTGCGGGAGCTTCCGGAAGATCGATGTCAGGTGGGGGTGGTGGCCCCCAGAGAGGTTCGAGCTCGAGTTACTATCAGCAGGGGAGGTCGCAGCGTGGGGGCCAGCTTCCCGTGTTTGTTCCTAGTGATTCGCAGCAGCAAAACCAGTTCTCGTCTCGATTGGAATAATGTTTTTTTTTTTTTCATGAAATATTTGCTTGTTAGTTTTTTTTATTAGGGTAGATTTTAGATGTCATGTTTTTTGTTTCAGTTTTCTCCATGCAAATACTGTACGTTCTATGGTAGTTAGAGCTTTTGTCGGGTCCGATCGGGGCCGAATCTATTTGGATCCGACTTCATTCCAATTTCCAATCCCCATTCGATTCTCTAACGAGCCAGTAAATTAAGTGTTTTCGGATCCGAAATAAATCAAGAATATTACTAAAAATGTGACCGTTATTTTCGATGGTGAAAAGATGCAATCATCTAACATTATAAGGCGATGTTACGAACAATTATCCAACTTATGCATGCTCGTGAAGGTCAAGCGAAAAAACTGACTACTTGGAGCATTGATCGTGTTGCAGAGGATAAATTCTCCGGATAAAACAGTCGATCATAAAACGAGGTCTTTGGTTCAAGTGGAATATAATCCTTCAAACGGGGCAGGGTTTTCGTTTCTTATTGGAATCGAACCTCGGAAAATATCTTGTTCATGATTATTTCGTGTGTGTGTGAGTTGATCTGTGTGCGCGCTAGTGTGTGTAATCTAGCTTCTAAACTTCACTGATCTCAAGCATAATTCATAATAATATCTTTAAATATTTATTTGGGTAAATTGCGGTCACCGCTGAGGTAAAAGTCACAAATTACGAAAAAACCCATCTTGTTTGGGTAATTATAATCACCCGCTCAATTATGAATCTTCTTACGCATCCACCCTTTTGGTGTCAAATTCACCAAAATCTTCTAGATTCCGTGGAATGTTCTCTAGTTTGTACTCGTTTTGTGCAGCAAAAGTGCAGTTTCTGATGCGCTACAATTTGATATTTACAAGTCAAAATACACATCTTATGATCATCTAGTTTCAGAATATGGAGCTTGATTAGGGTAAAACGGGTACAAACTGAAGAATATTCCACATAATCTAGAATATTCCACTAAATTTAATTCCGCAAGAGTGAACATGTAAAAAAATTCATAATTAAATGGGCATAATTTTTTTTTGTTTTTTTTTTTTCTCATAATTGACCTTACCTCAAGGCTCAAAGGGTTGGCCTAATTTACCCTGTTTCTTTTGATAACGCATCAATCCAAAGTTAAGTTTCACATCATATATATTAAACTTAAAATTTTTCAATGGCAATCCATGTAAATAAACCCAAACTCCATGACTAAAAAAGTAAAAACACTTCCCCCCGGTTCAAGTCAGTTACACCCACTAAACAACTCCCTCGAACCGGCCTTACTCTTCTCTCATTACATTTGACTATTATAGGAAAAAACAAACACCCTTTAACAAATTTTCTTGAATTTCCACTCAGAAAAAAAATGGAGAAAAACATTCACACTTGATTTGTTTTTTATTCAATTTTTTTTATATTTTTTTATCAATAAGAAAAAGAAAAAAAAAATATGGCCGGAGGAGGAAGCGCGGCGGAATCACGGGAGCTCGACCATACTCCGACGTGGGCGGTTTCGTTAGTGTGTGGAATCATCATTGTTATCTCTATAATATTGGAGAAAACTCTTCATAAAGTCGGTGAGGTATTTTTTCCGGATCAATCGTTTTCTTTTTCTTTTTCGAAAATATGTCCAAAATTTTGTTTTTTTGTTTTTTTTGAGATCTGTATATAATTATTGATTTTGAATGTGGAATATGACTTTTTTTCAATTGTTTTTAGTTTAACCTTCACTTTTTTATATTTGCGGGGCCCGCATTTCCGTGTCTGTGCAACATAGCTAATTTCTATTAATTAAATTTAAAATGATAATTGCCCTTAACATTGTTGTTTGTATTGGTAGACATTTCATAAGAGAAAGAAGTTTTCATTGGTTGAAGCTTTGGAGAAAATTAAAGCAGGCAAGAATTATACATACACACATATATATATGCATGTACATATATATGTATATATTAAAAAATATATATATATATAACTTTGAGTTTGTATTTTTTCAGAGCTTATGGTATTGGGATTCATTTCCCTACTTCTAACATTTGGGCAGAACTTCATTACACAAATATGCATACCGGATAAACTCGCAAACACAATGTTGCCGTGTGATTTTAAAACGAAATCGAAAGCGCATCACCATCCCGACCCTGAACCAGAACACGAACCCGAACACCACCGTAGGCTCCTGTGGAACGAGCATCGGATTTTGGCTGTCGACAGTACACCTAAAGATTGCAAAGATGTAAGAATGTGCATGCACTTTACGTGTTCGATAAAATGTCCGTGTGGAAAAAAAAAGTTACGTTGATCGAACAAGTGTTTTGTGCTAACGTACAGGGATACGTGCCTCTTATATCTGCACACGGACTTCACCAACTTCACATATTCATATTCTTTTTAGCCGTGTTCCATGTTTTCTACAGCGCTATAACGATGATGCTGGGGAGATTGAAGGTATTTATTTTCCTCGATATTTTTTTACAGGTTTTTTTCGTAACTATATGCCGTAATTGTACGCCATTCTGCAGATTCGAGGATGGAAAGACTGGGAACGACAGATTTTAGAAGAACACGAAGCGTCCAACGGTAATTTTTTTCTCTCCCGAACGTACTAATTATTATAGAAACATAAAATTTAACTCAACATTATGCATTTTTTTTAACGCAGATCCTTCTAGATTCAGACTTACACACGAGACGTCTTTCGTGAGAAGCCACTCAAATTCATTGATGCAAAACCCTATCTTGTTTTATATTGTAAGAAGAATAACTAGGATTACTAATAATACTTTTATCGTTATCCATTTCATGCGCGGAAAAAAAGTATTATTCACACCATATTTTCAGGTTTGCTTTTTTCGACACATTTGGTATTCAGTTCAAAGAGCTGACTATTTTACTCTGCGTCATGGATTCGTCTCGGTGAGTTTTCAAACTTACGTTTTTTTTTTACCGACATCAATGAACTATATACGGACATCCTCGTACTAATATTTTTTAAGAAACATCTCCATGTATATATATAGGTTCATTTGTCTTCTGGAACTAAGTTCGACTTTCAGAAGTACATCAAAAGGTCGTTGGAAGATGACTTCAAAGTCATTGTAGGAATCCCGTACGATTATCATCCCTCTTCATTCTTACTTATATGTATTCTAATATATATACATATATATATATTTATATATATATTTCTGTCTAAAAAACTGATGGCTTGACGATGGTTTCAGTCCGTATTTATGGATGACTTCAGTGATCTATCTGCTTGTGAACGTTAAAGGTTCGTTATTTATTTATTTAATTTTTGTTTATTTATTTATTTCAAAAGTGATGAAAACAAGAACTTCTATAGTTTAGTATATATTTCTACATGATGTATTTATACGAACGTCGTTTTTTTTCAGGAGGGCAAGCTATGTTTGTGCTGTCAATATTTCCCTTAGTGGTAACACTTGCTTTTGTTGTTTCATTAAATTCAAACATCCCACAAAACATTTCCCATTTTTTTTTTCCGAAGTAAAAAGACTGACTACTTGATTGGTTAAGGCAATCTTAGCAGTTGGAACGAAGCTTCAATCGATCATAACACAAATGGCTATCGAAATCCAAGAAAAACACGCTGTGATTCAAGGCATTCCACTCGTGCAAGTCTCCGATCGACATTTTTGGTTTAGCAAGCCTACTTTAGTTCTTCACCTTATCCATCTTACCCTCTTTCTGGTTCAAATCTCTCTCTCTCTCTCTCTCTCTCTCTCTCATGTTTGTTTCAAACTTTCTTGAACTATATATAAACGGGATGGAATATTCTTATCAGCCTCTTCTGTTTCCTTGATCTTAATTTTGCAGAACGCGTTTGAGATAACATACTTCATTTGGATAACGGTATGAATACTATTTCCTATCGTCTCCGTATCATCTATGAATTAATCTCTTAACTAAACTATTACAATAAATATATCTGAAAAATAATGTTTATCGTGTTTCAGTACGAATTCGGGCTCCATTCTTGCTTCCATCGTCATTTCACTCTTGCCGTTATCAGAGTCAGTATCGGGTAAGTCTCGACGATTATCGGATGCCATTCTAAGTCGATCGAAGGAGTTGAATTTTGTTCCGTTTTCGCAGGGTAGGAGTACAAGTTCTTTGCAGTTACATCACACTTCCACTTTATGCACTTGTTACACAGGTAAATAAATTCCCATATGAAACTTATTTTTAATGTGTCTTTTTTTTTATAAATATTTTGGGTAAATTACGGCCGCCCCCCTAAAGTATGGTCAAATTACAAAACAAATCTTCCTGTTTGGGTAATTTCAAAACCATCCCCTCAAATATGAATTTTCTTACACGTCCACCCTTGCGGTGTCAAATTTAGTGGAATCTTCTAGAGTATGTGGAATATTATCCAGTATGTACCCGTTTTACCCCCATTCGAGCTCCGTATTTTGAAGCAAGATGATCACAAGATGAATTTCTTGGCTTGTGAATATCAGATTATGGTGCATCAAAAACTGCATTTTTGCACAAAAAGAGTACAAACTAGAGAATATTTGAATTTGACATCATAAGATTGGACGTGTAAGAAGATTTATAGTTGAGACGGTAGTTGTAATTACCAAAACAAGAGGGCCATATTTTTAATATTTTTAATTTTTTTCATGTGATTGGTTTTTTGATCACTTGATAACATATGTAAATATACATATTAGATGGGATCACACATGAAGAAGTCAATATTTGATGAGCAAACTTCAAAGGCATTGATGAGCTGGCACAATAAGGTGAAGAAGAAAACCGACAAGGTTCCACCACTGCGCACTAAGAAGTTAGGTGGCAGCCCCGGAGATTCGCCGGAGCATTCTCCGATGGGGTCTCATCATGGCGGCACTGGGACCGCTATTGCACCTGGATCAAGCACCGAAATGACCGAGAGACGATCTTCTTCGAGCCCTAAAGACATGGTCGACATAGATTTGCTAACGGGCCCTTAATTTAGTGACGGGTAGAGCATAGGGCGGTGTTGACAAATGTTTTATTATATTCACCCCTCACAATTTTTTCAAGAATTTACTATTTATTGTAGAAAAATATGTATTGTTTTTGGTTTTTTCGATTTGTGTATATTGTTGGTAGATTTTGAACCTCTGTCTATAATGTTAGAGAATTGTAGACAATTTTCGAGTTCCGTAGTGTCTCGTACATGACTTTAGTCGTCCAATATTTAAATCGATGTCTCATTTGCACCTCTGTCTATAATGTTAAAGAATTGTAGACAATTTTCGAGTTCCGTAGTGTCTCGTACATGACTTTAGTCGTCCAATATTTAAATCGGTGTCTGATTTGCACTCTATCGTTATGTGTAAAAATACTCTTGTACCATATAATGACAATTGTTTCTTGCTAGAATGAATTTATAGTATAGCGTGTGATAATTTACGTGAAATAGTGTCCAGCGTAGCTTACCCGAGTGTAGATAAAACTTCATTTTGGCACTAACAGAACCAAAGTTAAAGTTCGAGGGCTGAATGCATTAAATTGTTTTTGAGAGGGCGCCGCTAATGCATTTACACAAATTTTATTAGATTTCTCTATAAACTAGTGGAGATTTGAAAAATATTGGGGGGCCACGACCCCCGATCATATGTTGGCTCCACCACTGTATTTTTTGGTAACGAAAAGGCTAATGCCAGAAAATAAATCGCACAATACTTGTGTGGACACTAATACATATGCGTGTGATTATGTGCAAAATCTACGTGAAATAGTGTCCGACATAATTTACCCAAGTGTAGATAAAAACTCATTTTGGTAATGAAAAGTGCTAATGCCAGAGAATTTTCGAACCCGCCAAACCATAAGAAAAAACCATCATCTATGCGGAAAAAAAAAAAAAAAAAAAGAAAATAGAAAAAGAAAAATATTATCTTTGGGCAGTTGATATTTCTGCAACGGCCATGGCTTCTTCTTGCATAACAACCACCTTTAAGAAATGTACAATAAAAAATCCCCAATTTCGCCCAAATCCCCCAACCCCCAAAACCCTAACCCTAGCTCTTCCGCCATTGACGATTTCAAGAAGGTCCGCTGCAATTCTCATCCCATTAACCCTAATCTCACTTCCCCAAACATCGCTAGCTAGAGAGAGACGCAGCAGAAAAATCATCCCTCTCGAAGATTATCTCACTAGCCGTTAGTTCCTTCTCTTTTCAATCTCACCATTTTTTTTGTCAATTATTTAAGGTTTCTGATTTTTCCTAGCTATTATGTGTATGTAATGGGAATCAATTTGTGCATTTTGAAGTGTTATATATATATATATATCTATATATATATATATATATACACATGTATGTAATATTTAAAAAAAGTTAATTCGGCAAGATTCGTAAATTAAGGTGGTGTTTGCAAAAGCTTTAGAAATAGATTATGAGTATTTTTCTGCACATAATCTGTTTTTAGTTGTTTGCCAAACAAGCTTTTGCTTCTATTAAAATAAGCTGTTTTAAGCTACAGTTTTTAAAAGAATCCATGTAAGTACTTTTTCTGTTTTAGTTGATTTTTCAGTTAATTTGCAAACATCCCCAACTTTTAGAAATAAGCACTTAATTCCTCCAGCTTAACTCACAATCACTAACTTCTGCTTTTAAATAAGCTTTTGCAAACACCACCTAAGTCGAGTTCTTGATCTTGATTTTTATCAATATATATTGCCAAATGTAGTGTTAGATGTATAACAGTGAAATGTCTGGATATTTTGAATCAGCTGACGGGCTTAAATATTACGATCTTATCGAAGGAAATGGTCCGATAGCCGAAAACGGAACAACTGCTCGGGTTCGTTTTACATTACGACAAATTGTGTTTTTATTATTCTATTTTTTTTTCCGTCACACTAAGAAAAAAAAAATCGTCTAGTTTGATAATCATGTGATGGAAGTACAAACAGGTGCATTTTGACTGTATATACCGTGGCATTACAGCTCTGTCGAGCCGGGAATCGAAGCTCTTGGCTGGAAATAGAAGCATTGCCCAGGTTTGTTTTAGATTTTAGCATTTTGTTCGGATTTAATTTTTAATAAACCTTAATTATAATAAAAATGTTGATAATGGAATTTTCTTGGACATTTTAAGTAGCCTTACGAGTTTCAAGTTGGAGCGATACCTGGAAAAGAGCGGAAACGGGAGTTTGTGGACAATCCAAATGGTTTGTTCTCTGCACAGGCTGCTCCGAAACCTCCCAAAGCTATGTACAAAATTACCGAGGGGATGAAAGTTGGCGGCAAGGTAATTAATTCTTTTTTTTTTTTTTTTACCTTAACAAATCGTTTTTTTTTTAAATTTATTTATTTTTTCTTTTTCAGAGGACTGTGATAATTCCTCCCGAGGCAGGGTATGGCCCGAAAGGAATGAATGAAATTCCGGTAATGCTTTTACGTACAGTACTCGTTGATTTATACTTTTTTTGTCGAAAGGATGTTTGGTTAGTCTAATAATTTTTCGGGCCGGCCCGAAATTGCAGAAAAATGGCTTTAATTTTGTCTAATTGGGAGAATATTTATTTAACCAAACAATGCCCAAGCTTATTATCACTTAAGTTTTCCCTCACTCGAAATTTGTTTTAATTTTAGTTGAATATAACATACTTGAATTATTAACGAAAATCGGTTGATACACGTTTTGTATTCTACTATTGTATTTTATATTTTGCTGAGGTCATCTTGCATTTTTTTTTCCGAACTTTGCAGCCAGGTGCAGAATTTGAACTAAATATCGAACTTTTGCAAGTAACACGACCTGAAGTCAAGTGATAAAGCTTCGTGTACAGAAGGAACCGTTTTCGTTTTTCACCATTACCTTCAAATTTTTTTGATTCATTTATGTTTTTTCTTTTGATACGTGTAATAAAACATTCCGCTGTTTGTATTTGTCGAAACTGATGGCTAACTGAAACTAAATCCACAGAAGAACAGATGATGCTTCATATATATACGGGGTAAATTACGGCCAACTCTTTGAGTTAAAGTTAAATTACGAAAAATTCCTCAATTTCGAGTAATTACATCCACACCCCTCAATTATGAATTTTCTTACACGTCCATCATTGCGGTGTCAAATTTAGTTGAATCTTCTAGATCATGTAGAATATTCTCCAGTTTGTACACGTTTTACCGCATTTGAGCTCCACATTTTGAAATAAGATGATCATAAGCTCGTAAATATCAGATTGTGATGCATCATACACTGTATTTTGCACAAAACGAGTACAAACTAGAGAACATTCAACGGAATCTAGAAGATTATGTTGAATTTGACATCATAAGGGTGGACGTGTAAGAAGATTCATAGTTGAAGGGGTGGTTGTAATTACTTAAAATTGAGGGATTTTTCGTAATTTGACCAATTTACCTATATATATATATATTAAATTAAACTTAAAAAAAGTTAAATTAAAAAAAATTAGTCAGAGGACCATAATGCAATGTTAAAAACTAAAGAAATTTATTTTTGCCAAATACTCATAAGTCATAATTATAAGACAAAATTCATAATTAAATGCAAAGCTTAATACAGACTTCAGAGAAAAAGAAATAAAACAAAAAAGAAATACAAAAAGCGTGTTTCAGAATTGAAATATCAAAAGGAAAATCGGGTTTACAAAAAGATCGGCTGAGAAATTAGTCCGAGTGGTCGCCTTCACTCCGCATTTTACTGTAATTTTTTCAGACCAAATTTCTAGAGAGAGAAACTGTAAAAATGAAGCGAATTCGATCAGATCTCTCGTTAGTGTTTATTTTCGCATTTTTTGTGCTTTTCTCGACTGGTTTCTCCGATCTCGTCGTCTCCAAACTCGATCGCCAGGTAAAATTCGTACTCTGATTTTCATTTTTTTTTTCAAAATTTAATGCTATTTGCTTTAGATTTCTGATGAATATTCGCAGTCGAAATAATTTGATTTTCTTGCTAGGGTTTTTAAAAATCTCGTTGAGTATTTTATTAGTTTGCAGTCTGTATACTAAATGCTCTGCTAAAACTCAGTGAAGTTAAAGATTGTTCTAGGGCCTCGTGTTTTAATTACAATTTTATTAGCTTATTCGTGTGAAAATTAAGGGGTAAATTACCAAGTGAACTATGCATTGAATTAATAGCAATAAAACATTGAGAATTTGGAAATGTATTTCGTTGGGCTTCATATGGATTCGTTGCACCGTGATTTCATTATGTTTGGTTTCTGAAGTTATTTCGTTGTTGATTTTTGGTGCAGATTGATTTATCTTCACCGGTAGTACGGACCACAATATCTTTGAAGGTAATTTTTTCGGCCATTTTGATGTTATCTATATATATATATATATATATGTGTGTGTGTGTGTGTGTGTGTGTGTGTGTGTGTGTGTGTGTGTGTGTGTGTGTGTGTGTGTGTGTGGGCTTATTTAAGTGACTGCTAAAGCTGATTATATTTTGATATTATTATTGTTCTTATATTCCAATCCAGATAGAAAACAATGGAGCTAATTCAGTATCGGAAATTTTGCTACCATTCCCTGAACATCAAGCAAAGAACTTTGCTTTCCTTTCAGCCAAAATCAGTGAAGGAAAAGGAAAGACGAAAGATTCCTCCGATAGCATTCCTGTTGCTATCGCAACTCCAGAAGGAATGCCACCAGCCATGACTTGGTATTCCGTTTCTTTACCCAAAGAACTGGTCAAGGGAGGAAGTTTGACTTTAGAAGTCAAAGCTGTATTTACTAATATTCTAAGGCCTTTCCCCGAGAAGGTAACTCAGGCTGATGTTCAACTTGTTGCTTTCCAAGAGAGTGCACATTTTCTCTCTCCTTATCGAGTTAAGTTTCAGTCACTGGCTATTAAATTACCAGAACCGAAAATTGAATCTTACACGAAATTGGAGAATACCAAGTTTTCTGGTTCGGAATTAAAATATGGTCCCTATGAGAATCTTCCTCCATTTTCGTACTCAACAGTAGTAGTTCACTATGCGATTAATAAACCATTTGCTGTTGCTCAAGAGTTGGTACGTGAGATAGAGATCTCCCATTGGGGCAATGTGCAAATCACAGAACATTATAACCTCGTTCATGCAGGTGCAGAACTCACAGGGGAATTTTCAAGGTATATTTTTTTTTTACTGTATTTCATATATGCTCGTGTTTATGTTATCTCTGTTGGATATAAAGGTTATATTTGTTCTTTCTATTGATTCTTGCAGGCTCGACTATCAGGCGCGACCTCATGTTAGAGGGGCGTCGGCATTAAGGAACCTTGTTGCTAAATTACCCGCAAGAGCTCATTCTATTTATTACAGGGATGAGATAGGAAATATTTCTACATCTAATGTGTGGAGTGATTCTGCAAAGGTACGTGTTGATTTTTTTTTTTGGGGGAATGATTTGATTTGGTTTGATATTGTGATGAGTATTCTGTTGAATGCAGACACTACTGGAAATTGAGCCTCGTTATCCAATGTTTGGTGGCTGGAAGACTGCTTTTACCATTGGGTATGGCTTGCCGCTTCGGGATTTCTTGTTCCAGTCTGAGGGGAAACGTTTTCTTAATATTACTTTCGGTTGTCCAATGAGTGATGTTGTTATTGAAAATCTCACTGTAAAGGTAATGGTTCTTACAATTCTCATTTCTCACATCGTGAATTTAAGGTATCGGATTGGATCCTATTCGTATGTAAATTTCTGTTTGGTTTGGATTGGGATGGGGGTGGTGGTATAGAAACCTTTGATTGAAGATAACTACTGTAATAGCTTACTATCTATATCTTTAGATACTCGGCACCCATTTGACTTATGAGAATACTTTCCTACTTGATGCTGCTATTGTTAATTGCCTAGTGGGATGTTTTTGCCTGCCTCTAGTATTTTATTATGTGAACAATTAATCTCGCTTTTTCTTTCTTTTTCGTGGTTGAAGATTTGCTACTGAAAATAACATATGGGTTCTGCAATTTCAGGTTGTTCTACCAGAGGGGTCGAAGGAATTTACCGCTTCTGTTCCATTTCCTGTCAAACAGTCTCAAGAGGTGTGATTAAACTCCATTTTAAATATTTGCATTTTTTCTCCAAATAACTGTGCTTCTGTTCTTACATATTGTTCTTGTGAGCTGGTGCAGATAAAATTTTCCCATCTGGATATTATTGGTAGACCAGTCATTGTATTAGAAAAGACAAATGCTGTGCCAGAACATAATCAACATTTTCAGGTAATTTCGCTGTATTTGTATCATTTTTATTTTTTCTTTTTGGTAAATCAGAAGTTATTTATTGTATGAGAAAACTGAAAAATATACCAGTAATTAGCAAGTAAAGAAAGTAAACTTCTCTTGTGACTGCATGAAGTAGTCTACTTCCACTCCAAATAAATAATTAATAACTCATGGAATCTGCACATGTAGTGATGCGGGTCATAGCTCATTGAATCTGAACATTCGTTGATTGGTGCTAGAACCAAAGTCATAAGATAAAAACAAATATGCTCTTCATCGTCTAGAAACTTCTCCACTTCTTTGGACATGTTTCTCTTTCAACTAAAAGGTTATATATCTAGCAAATGGAATGTTTTAGGTTTGCAAATAATCGCCCTCTACACAATTGAAAACTCGTGTTGGTTGCTCTTTTAGATAGATCGCGGATTTATTGCTTTGCTTGGGAACATTGTGTTTAACGTGGAGAGGCATTTTTAATGTTTAAGCTAAATGCTATTAGATGAACTGTGATAAGACTCCTTAAATGAAGCTTATATATGCTTTCAGGAATACATCGATCCTGTGGTAGCCTTGGTTTTCAAGTAGGAGGAGAAAAAAAAGGACAAATATCAGGACTATCGCAAATTTAAAAAAAGAAAACAAAAACAAAAGTAGATGCCAATATAATTGTTTGAATCATGAACTTCATCTTAGTCATATATTTTAATCACAGCATGGAATCTGATAATTAAAATAAATTGGACTAGTAAATCTGATACTATGTAACATCCTTTCTAAAGGATCATATCCTTTCTAATAACTTATGTTATTTGGGCGTCTTTCCCCATAATTTTTTTTTTCTAAATGTTAGAACGTTTTAGGCAATTCTTGCACAATGTTGTTACTTGGACCGGTCTGCCTTACCAAATGTACAAACATGTCAAAATCCTATTTATCATATCTCATCAACCACTTGTCAATTTTATGTATTAATTTTCTTTTATTAAATTGTTTAAGTGCCATCCTAATTGATGTTTCTTGGATGAAAGATGACTTCAGCTGTTAACTTTCTCTAATTAAGTAGGTTAGCATTTCTTCTTGTACTTCATCATAAAATAACTCGTTTTAAAATATTGAAGATTATACCCTCCCCTAAAACCATGTAGTCTATACGCCCATGAGTAAATGCTCTGTTTCTTTCTGGATGCTCGGAAAATCTCAACTCTCAATTCTCGGTCCTAATGTGGATACTTTCTCTTAAAAAGCTTTGTATAATGAAATCTCAATTCTCAACTCTCAGCCACTATATTTGCTGATTAATTTAAATGGATTGTGCTTATATATTATTGTTCTTTTTGTACAATAAAGCCCATATATCTGTTTTTCCCCCAGGTCTACTACAAATTCAGCAATCTTTCCCTCCTTAGCGAGCCGTCAATGTTGATTTTCGGGTTTTTTCTGTTTTTTGTTGCATGTGTAGTATATACACATGCAGACTTCACAATCTCAAAGACTTCACCTTCTTATTTAGCAAAGCTTCAGTGGGATGAGGTATTTAGATATTCTTCCTCCCTCATTTTAGTTCACGGATTGAAATTGACCATTCATTTTATCGTTAAAAAAAAAAAAAAAAAAAAAAAAACATTCACGATAATGTATGTATCAACTTTTACAGGTCCAAACTACAATTCAGCAGTTCCTAAATATCATGAACCGTTGTTTGATTCTTCATGACAAGCTAGAAGCATCGTTGCGTGATCTTTCAAGAACCGGTGATGTGCAGGCCTGCAAAGCCGCACGCAAATCTGCCGACAGTTTGCTTAAGGAGCTGCCGAAGGAGTTGAAACCCTTGTTGTCATTCTTGCAATCTTCTCCACAAGCAGTTCAGATAACTCCCAAGGTTCGCATTCTGATTCTATTCGTTTGATTCCATTCATTAATTTGCTCGAAGGGTTTCGATTATTAATCCACCTCCAGTTATTGGTTACGTCTTTGGATGGAATAAGTGTCTGCAATTTTTCAATGTGAGAATCGAATAAATATTGACCTATTTAGAAATGAAACACTCTTATATTACCTTCGCATGGGAAAAATAGAAGCCGGATTACAATTCTCATATATTATATGCTAGCAAAAAATATCGGGAAAATTACAGTTTTCATCCCTCAAGTTTGGTCCAATGTCACATTTGGTCTCCCATGTTCACAAAAAACACATTTGGTCCTTCATGTTTCAAAAATTCAACACTTTAAATCATTTCCGTCAATTTTCTGTTGAAACTAACGGAGTCAAACGTGTTCCCATCGCTACATTAACTGACGGACTAACGGTAAATTGACGGAAATGATCAAAAGTGACAAATTATTGAAACATGAGGGATGAAATGTGTTTTTTGTGAACATGGGGGACCAAATGTGAAATCGTTGCAAACTTGAGGGACGAAAACTGTAAATTTCCCAAAAAATATATGTCGACATTCGAAATTATAAGCAAGCACTCTGAGATGCATCCCCGCCGTGGTAGTGAATTTCCCATTTTACCATCTTATTTTGCTTTTATCGGGTTTTTAACGTAGGTGGAAGAATTGATAACAAAGGAGAGGGAGTTGCAAGAAAAGCTGATGTTGAAACACTCCACAGTCGTAGAGGCTTTTGAGAAGAAATCCGGTGCTCGAGATATCGACAGTCGCGTGGCTGCAGTTCAGCAGAAAATTACACTCTTGAGGCAGGAAGTCGACGATCTTCTTAAAGTGATAGACGAGATATAAATGTTAGGGTAAAAAAACAATTCTAGGTACCGGAGTTTTTTTCGACTTTAGATTATTTTGTCGAAAATTGTTGTTTTGACTTTGAAATATAGATTTGATCAGTTTTGGACCTAAAATGAATACGGATTCTAGAATATGACAAATACGAGACTTAGGATCATCATCTGCCTTGGTATTATCATTTTTTACTCTTGGTTTGTTTACGGTAAGTCGAACTAAAAAAGAATTGGTTCACTCTTTGATTTTTATTCTACGAATCATTGAAATATTCGATCATTTATCCGACTAGGGTAATTCAATAGGTTACCATTTTACCTCGTATATTTTTTTTAAAATTTTGCGCTTTGCCCCCTAAAAAAAAATTAGTTGCACGTTCGCACCTGAACAGATTATTTTGTGATTGATTGCCGTATGCATATCACCTATTTTCTTGCTGTTTTGGCCGGAATTCAAAATATGTGCATTGAACGTGACGCTTGTAAGGGCATAACTGTCATTCAAATCTGAATTACCCTAAAAGAACCGTTTAATGCCATATGATATTTGTCTCTAATGTCGAAACTAACTTGTGTTTCTGAAAATCATTGTTACTATGGTGGTGTTTGCAGATGCTTTTCGAAAGTGATTATGAACTTTTTAACGAAAAAAATTAATTTTGAAAAAAAAAAACTCATAATCACTTTGAAAAAACGTTTGCAAACAACAACCTATTGCTATGTAAGATAAGTTTACAAACTAATAATCAATTTTTTCTTAGATAGAATGGATACGATGGATCGAATTGGAATTACTAATTACATAACAATTTTAATTGATTTCGGAAGTAAAAAAGTTAAATTCAATTCTTGTTCGAAAATTGATTTTTTTTTGGATTGGAATAGGTGGAAATTCAAAGATGTTTTTTCTTTATTCAAAATTCAAAAATTTCCGAATTACTTTTTGAAGATTAAAATTGGATCGAAAATTGAATTCTCATACATGATTCTAATTAGATATTTGTGCTTCAATAATTAATTACGTCGTACATAAAAGTTTTTTAGATTATCCAACTTTATGAACTTTATTTTTTATTTTTTTTGTAATTATAATTGTAGAAATAAATAATTAAAAGTGAAATGCTATTCATAGTGCAACTTTTACCGCCTTGTAGTGCGATTTATTTCATTTGTAACTTTCCTTACAAAAAAACAAATTCGCCCGATATTTCGTGTATTATTACACGAAATCCACTCAATAATTTTGTGTATTTTTACACGAAATATAAGTGTTTATTGTTATAGAACACGAAGGACGAAACTGTTGGATTGAAAAAAATCACCTATTTCGTGACAAAACCCACGAAATAGTACATTATATTTTGTGGATTTTTCCACGAAATTATACCTTACAATTCGTAGATTTTTCCACGGAATATAATGTATGCTTCGTGAAATTCAGTACGAAATTCCTAATTGATTTGTTTTTTAATTAACCAATTTATTTCAGACACTCAAATTGACCTAAAAATTCAAATACAAATTGAACTAGAATTCAAATACAACTACAAATTGATCTAAATTTCACATACAAATACAAATTCAACTAGATTTCAGATACGACTACAAATTGATCTAAAATTCAAATACAAATACAAATTGAACTAGAATTCAAATACAACTACAAATTGAACTAACGTCCAGACTTTAATTGTTCGTACAAGAGTAGTCGGGGTTTGTACATTTTGAGTAACTGCCTCAGGTTTTTAGCTCTATGGTCTACCCATGCCGGATGGATTGGTGGTAGAGGACTATTTGCGACCAAATTAACAAACATGAAATGATAGTTGTGCAATGTCACAACAATCATACATGATAAGTGACCACTGTCAAACATAAGAAGGTAAGTCATACTCCCTAGTTGAGTCAAAAGTACCAGTAATGCACTGTATCTGGTAGCAATGCCCAATCCCATTTCATTCATGTACATCCAATAAGCTTGTGGACAAGGCCCTGAGGTCCAGTTACACTTGCGTATGACCTCAACGTATCCGGTACTGCCAAACATCGCCGTGTACACATTAGCATGCTCGTATAACTCAATAAGCAACTCCTCTCTCACTTGCAACCATCTTTCTTGATCCCCGTACACGGCTTTAGCAACACACCGGTACCCACAGTTGCCATCCGCCATCACGTTAACATAATCTTGAATAAGACGGACCATAAATCTGGGCACGAAAGAATAAAAGTCGATTCCTTCATGTGCAGGTATTGTAGGGGCAGCAGATTCTTGTGTGGGAATACGAGAACCACGACATTTCATCTTCGATTGAGGCGTTCCATCAGTGCTTCTCTCAACCTTTGCTTTAGGAATCTTTGCATCAGATGAGGTTTGGCGAACCTTGGAACCACAAGACGACTTAATTGTCTCCTCATCAATATGATATTGCCATCCGGAAGGGTCTCTCTTTGTCGAGTTATTCTTTGGTCGTCCTTTGGTCTTAACAAATGATGGCTCGGACAGATGCGACGTAGACGGATAAACAATGTCATGCAATGAGGCCACGGCATTTATCTTGCTCGTGTAGTTCATCTTCTTCAAATTGCAATTCAGGTCATCAATATGTCTATCCACAATCTCCTCGCGGTTTACTTGATACTCAGGTAGCTCCGAAGGCTCAACTGCCATGGTACTCCAGAATGGATGCAAGTCTGAAATGACGAACGTGTCATTATCTTCCATTTTCTGCACAATTTTGCACGCGCATGGGAGCCCATGAGTATTCCAAAGATAGTGTGTGTAAATACTCGGATCTTGCTTCGCCGGGGACTCTATCTCTTGATCCAATTTCTCTAATGCCAGATGCGCGTAACATAACAAATCAAACCCTGAAAACACGGCCATGCTGCAGTATGCTTCCTTATCTTGGATGATAATAAAAAATCGCACTTCAGCTGACTAATTTGGATATAAACTTGGTCCCGAAGTTTGCCTTGCACGTTATCCAGACCTCCGGTCGAAGCATTTAACCAACCTACTCTCCACCCTATCCAATTACAAGAACAATCAAAGCATGCAACGACAATCAAATTACAAAATAAATATTATTTTTATATAATATATTTTATCATTTAAATAACTAAAACATGTAATACATGTTGGTGCTCGTGTTACCAAAATGATACACATTGCGAGTATAGGCTCGAACAAACTTCTCCTTGTATATCAACCACGTATCATTCAAATACTGTATCAGTCTAGGATATCCTGCATACTGTCCAACAATTTCATTGTAATTGTAATGATACTCTTCTTCGGTTTCTGATTTCACCAGCTTAGCCCACAGCCCACATCGGAATATTAGACCTTGATCTTTGTTGCCTCCCATAAATTTCATCGCATTTGTCTCGACATTTCTGTTTATATGGAATATACACAACATATGATAAAAAAATGGGAAGACATTTAGCAGTGATTTCAAAAGACCCAACTCTCTGTCTGTCAAGATCGCATCAGGTTCGACACCATCTAGCAACTCTTTCAAACAATTCAAAGGCCACTCGTAGGTGTCTGCATCTTCATGCGAGATAAATGCAACAACAATTGTAAAATTCCTCCCAACTGGAGTTATCCCAATTATTTCCAAAAGAGACATTCCATATCTACAACAATGTTGTTTTTACATATTTAAACAATACAATACATTAAAACACAATAATCATAATTTAAACGATCGTAATTTTTACTTACTTATTGATTTTGTATGTGCAGTGCATCAATATAACATACGGGAACAGCCGTAGTAACTTAATAGATTCGGGACATGCAAACATAATATATGTAATCGTGTTGCTCGTTTCACTATCGACGCGATGCCAATATCGATACTCGCCTTGTTGAAAGTTATGCATCATAAACTGAATAACAGTCATGCCGTTCATTTCCTCAGATTTAATCTTGGCCAACTCATTGTAAACATGCTTCATAGAGGGTTGTATCGTCGGATCATCTTTCCTCAATCTATCCATGATTAACATTGGATTCACGTGACAATTTTGCAATTCTTTAATTCTTGCTTTCTGTTGTGGAGTTATACGACTAGTCGTACCTTGTCCGTGAGGAAACAAAGCCGGATGATGAGTATGTCTACCATCGCTGACAGTCAACCGCCATAATTCATCAAACCTTGACTTTTTGCCAATCAATTTGAACGGACAACCATATTTTTTTGTTCCAGTATTTCTAGGATCTTCCAAATCGATATTCGTTTGTCGGCCATGTCCGTATTTGTCACACGTCAAGTACTGTTCATTCTCCCTTCTAGACTAACAAATCAAACAGTGACAATGACTAACTGTAGTTGCTTTGGCCCACTTGATTAATTCTTCCCTACTATCGAACACAATATCAACTTGGAAGAAGTGAGAGAAATCTTCATATTCATTTTGATCCAAAAGCGAGGGATCAAAATACAAATTGTCTTCATATGGCTGCATGAATAAAATAAAAAGTTAGATACTTGCGCAAAAAAAAAAAAACAAAAAAAAAAATAATAACTAGGGATTTCGTGTAAAACTACACGAAATTAATGTATACATTTCGTGTAGTAATGTACAAAATGAATAATAAAACAGTTTATTGCCGTTTCGTGTGCTTTTACACGAAATAATAGCTACAATTTCGTAGTATTTTATACGAAATTACTGGAAAACACGAATATGGTGTTAATTTCGTGCAAAACACCACGAAACGACTTGAATAATTTCGTGATATTCTACACGAAACGACTGAAAATCAAAAAAATCACATTAAAACGTAATTTTTTACCTCATTTACGAGATCGATATTGGTCATCTTGATAATCGTTGAGTTTCAACTGATTTCTACGAAAACAAATCACGATCTACAAAAGTCGAAATATTTGGAAGTTGAGAGGATTTTGTAAAAGGTTAAAGTGTTTTTTGACAATGAATTATTTCACGCTGTAGCTGAAAAAAAATGCACTACTACTAAATACAATTATCCAAGTAATCACCGGGCAAACCCGACCCGCAAAGCAATGACCCTTTAAATACGAAAAAATGAGTCCCTATAAAACGATAAAATCTCGTCACTCCCAAAGGCCCCGGCAGATTTGCCGGCATATCCCTATCTTCTTCTTCTTCTTCATCTGTAACTAGGGTTTCGTATTTCAACTCAACTCCTAAACCCTAATTACTGTACGGTGAATTTAATTCTCTCACAGAAGATGGAAACCTCTCTCAGGTACGGCGGCGATTCCAAGTCTCTTTGCATCCGCGCCAAAGAAAAATTGCCCGTCGGCGACAATATTATCTGGGAGGTATTTTTCAGTCCTTTTCGCCGCCCAATTTTAATATTTTTTATTTTTTTTGCTACAATAGATGGATTTGTGTGTAGATGGACGGCGGAGATACGCCGGCGCAATAAACCCTGTGTAGTAGCTATATCAATTTCAATTATATGTGTGTGTGTGTGTGTGTGTGTGTGTGTGTGTGTGTGTGTGTGTGTGTGTGTGTGTGTGTGTGTGTGTGTGTGTGTGTGTGTGTGTATGTGTGCAAAATGCCGTTTGTGTTTGATTTTGGTTTCATGTATGAATATCAAATGTTGTGTATCTTTGCATCGCATTTGCAATAAATAAAAAAAAAGGGGTTGGTTCAATTTGTTGTTAACTTCAGAAGAACTAATGCAATGTGGAATCGAGCAAATCGGGTTCTTGTTTCTCAATTGTGTTGCAGGAGTGAGTGATTTATCAATTTTAACTTAGGCTCAGATTTTGTTTGTTAACGAGTTTTTTTTTTCCGGTTTCGTAATATTGCCTGTTCGGCTATATTCATCTGATGTTCTTTTATTTTATGCTGACATTAATCTCGAACTTCTAATTCATGTGTTTGTATTCGAATTGGCAGTCTCATGCAGAGCTAGACACGAAAGCTGGAGCTCCGACCTTTCTAAGTTCAATGTTGAGATTCTACTATCCCGATGTACGTGCCTTTGATTTAAATTAATTTCAATTAATTACCGCTTCTTCTAATTTGATAATGGAGACTATGATACAAAAATAAAGAATTTTCGCGTCCGGTTTTAGTGATTGTTTTGAAGCTAAATCTCCAAAAATGTGACAAATGTACCACCTATAGATTAAAGGATTTTCGCAATCTGTACGTGGTTGTAATTTGAGAATTGGGTATGCGAAATCCAATTGTCAGGAAAATTTACGTTTAATCTTCGGAAAGTTTTTATAAAAATTCTTCGTTTTTTTTCCTTCCCAAAGTTAATATTGGTTTTTGTTTTGAAAAAAGAAAAGAAAATTATCATCCCCTCTCTGTGCATGATTTGGCAAACGAGACATAACGAAGCTGTTTCCTCCGATTATTTCAATCTTTATTTCTAAGTCTCGGAGGCAAATAATTTATTTGCACGTATTATGACTTATATAGCTATCAACAAGCCTTGGGGTGGGAGCTCAATACAATAAGAATCGTAAGATACACTATCATGTACGTGGAAAACATGCGTTTCCAGTAACTTCTGATCGATTGATAAGCTTTAACATCAAGGGACGATGTAATACCGATGAGGAATTTAAAAAGGTTAGTCTTTCTTTCGTTTCTCCAATGTTCTTTTATAAACTATTTATTGATTCTTGTAGTTATTGTATTGCTACGTGTTTTAGAACACTTAGATGCGAACTTGAACATCTTTTTACACTGTCTGAAACAGGTGAGTTACACTGGTGCTGCTGAACTTGTTTGCAACATATTCAATGTGAAAAAAGACCAGGATTTACGGGTCAAGCTTGGATACGACCTTATGCAGAAGGTACGTTGACACTCAATTTGTCTTTACCATCAATTTATTTATTTATTTATGATAAAGGATAAATATATATCTGCACTTATCTTTTGTTAATTGTGGAAAATATTTGTATTTATGTAATTTCTCGGCTAAGTATAGATTTTTTTCAGTTGCCATATTTGCAGGTTCGGGAAAATAATTGGACCTTCAATGCGGATGGAAACTGCAAATGGAATGTGAGATACGATCTGTGAGATCGGCCCGGCTCGACTTTCAAAATTATTGTTTGGGAATGAGATAGTTAAGCATAGGATTATTTTTCCCCATAATTTTATTTAGGTTATGCTCTGCCATTTTCTTGAGGTTTATTAAATCTTTAAATAGTGTCCTCAAGATTATTTTTTTTTCCTAGCAAGGACATCTTTGAACATGACTCTATTATTATTATGTATTTAATTATTTAAAACAATTTTATGAGAAATTGATCGTGACCAAAAAATAATAAATTAGTTAAAAAAAATATATAATAAATTAGGCTGCATCGAGTTGAACCGGTCAAATCGTGACCGAGTTGGTCGTCTGTTCCATGTGCAGTCCTGTTCTGAAAATATTGGTTTCAATGTAGTGAATACATATTTATGACTTGATAATTCAATTTTGTGATTAAATTTCGTAGTTTTCAAGTGTTTTCGCCATAAACTACAGCAGTCAAGCGTCGAAATATTTCCGGCTCGGGACTAACCTCTACCTGTACCCGGAAATCGGCAATTTTTGATCTGTGACCGTGGGCTAAATTAAGACATATATTTTGAAAATGAAATTAAAAAAAATACCAATTTTTTTGAAAATTAAGTTTTGGTGTATGAGGAAAATACAAAGACCAAACAAAGAAAAAGTTTGGCAGTGTGTTTGACACTTAAATGGATAGGATATGAAGAAAAGTAAACCAAGAAGATGAGGATAAGTATAATTAGGATTTATAGGATAAATCATTTATTTGGTATGTAGCCTGCAGGTTATTTTTTTATTATATAATTAAACAACCCGCAACCAATCATATAAGTGCACTGGATAAATCTATACTCTCGTACAATAATTTGCAAATCACATTGAGAGACGTAAACCACACTAAACAAACCATATGTGACAAGCTTCATCTTACTGTAGATAAATAAATTTTATCCAAAAGAAAGGGACCATTGTGCAATTACGAAACAAGGAATTCTATTTAAATTCTATGGCCGATGGCAATTCCGTAATTAAATAATTAAGTTCAAATCAAATCAAGATTATATGCCGTATATTGGTATCTATATTTAAAATCAATTACATATTTTCTATTTTAAATCTAGGGATTTAATTAAATTAATTCCTAAATTAAATAGATAATTGATTTTAAATATATATTTACCAGTAGAATTATTTATTCTCTTCCAAATTATAAGGGATAAATATCAATTAATTATTGACCAATAGAATTGTTTCTTCTCTTCCAAGTTACAAGAGATAAGTATCAATTTAAATCGGGCCAATCAAATCGCGCCACATCATCAGTAAGGCCCATCAAGGACTCTTATTCTACCACTATAAATAGGGATCCTCCCTTCACAATTCAAACACAACTGAAGAAGCATAAACCGTAGGAGCAAAATTCTCTCTACAATTCAAGAAGCAAGGAAGAAGAATTCGTAGGAGGTAAGATTCTCTCTCTACATTCAAAGTGTTCTTCGTCATATTCGAGGTGTTCTTGAGCAAATTCAAGGCATTCTTCATCAAATCTAGCGATCCGAGATAACGGTGCCAAACCTTCGGATTAACGTTAATCAATTCAAGTCAAGATCACTGGAAGATTGAAGGGCCAAATCCATCAAGAATTTCAAGATCTTCAAGTCAAATCAAATCAAAGTTCAACGTTCGATCCGAGATTCAAGTCGCAAGACCCTTGGAAAACGTTATTCAAATCCAAAATCAAATCCGGAGAAGATCAAGTCAACGACCCGACTCCGAAAATTCAAGTCAACTATATATTTTTCTAGAGAGAAGAATCAGAGGATTAAAATAGAGATTGTAACCCGCAATTTATTTATTTTAATTCAATAAAATCATCTTTGTTCAATTTTTCTTGTTTGTTTATATCGCAGATAAGAATTTGTTGTTACAAATTTTGGCACGCCCGGTGGGACCTCTCTACCTCTCATCTCTTCTCTCTCTCGAAGATCCTAGTAGCTGTTCTACGTTCACGATGAAGGCTGCTACTTCAAATTCATCAAGCATGGGCGTAGTTACAAGGAGTATGGCTAAGAAGCTGCAGACATCCTCCGAGACTAGCTCAACACCCCAAATCATCGAAGAAGGCTCGTCACCTCTCGTCAACATAGGTGGAGGCGTGGAAGGATCTAGAGGAGAAGCTTCATCATCCACGTCCCTTTCAGCATCAAACTACTCTGAAGTGGCTCCCGTCATGACGACACATGCTACGACCATGGAAGAACAGATGGCGATCTTGACCAAGGCCATTGAAGGGTTAACAAAGCACATTCAAGAACAAGACTCCCAAATCGCGACGTTGCGGAACAAGGTTGACGGTAGTCACGACATGGGAAAACAAGGCGAAAATCACACCGAAGCTGAAACTTCTGCAAGGCGACATCCAATCGAAAGGGAGAAGAGCCCGGCTGAAGAATTCCAGATTTCGTCAGAAGGGTTGATTCCTATAGACCAATTGAAGGAGTTCATCATGGGGACTATCAAAGACAAATTCAATGAGAGTTCAAAACCGTCGTCAACATATACCAAGCCATACACTCTAAGAGTAGACGACTTGAAGATGCCAACTGGTTACCAACCCCCGAAATTTCAGCAATTTGATGGCAAGGGTAACCCAAAACAGCATGTGGCACACTTTGTTGAAACTTGTAACAACGCCGGGACTTTCGGAGACTATCTAGTTAAACAATTCGTCCGATCATTGAAGGGGAATGCTTTCGATTGGTATACAGACCTAGAACCGAACTCAATTGACAGTTGGAGTCAGATGGAACAAGAGTTTCTGAATCGCTTCTACAGCACCCGAAGAACAGTAAGCATGATCGAGCTCACAAACTCTCGCCAGTGGAAAGAAGAGGCCGTCATTGACTATATTAACCGTTGGAGGAATTTAAGCCTGAATTGCAAGGACCGATTGTCAGAGGCTTCAGCTATCGAGATGTGCATCCAAGGAATGCAATGGGGACTCCGATATATCCTGCAAGGGATTCAACCTAAGAGTTTTGAAGAGTTGGCCACTAGAGCACACGACATGGAGTTGAGCATTATGGCTAGTGGAGTTGAGGGACCACCAGTTCAAGAGTCTCGACAGTTGAAAGAAAAACAGGACTTTCGGAAGGGGGGTAGAGTTTTCTCTAAAACCTCAAGCAAAGAATCTTTGGCAGTGAATGCGACCCCTATCAAATTTCAAGGAAAAGTGAACGGAAACAATGAGGAAAAACAAGATTTTTCCCAAGAAAGAAGAAGACTTACTCTAAAAGAAATGCAGGCAAGGGAATATCCATTCCTCGACACTGATGTGGCTGGAATATTTGACGATTTGCTAGGTTTAAAACTTATCGAGTTGCCTGAAATGAAGCGCCCCGAAGAAGCTAACAAAACCGATGACCCAAAATACTGCAAGTATCATCGGTTGGTCGGGCACCCGATTCATGATTGCTTCGTATTCAAAGACAAAATTATGCAGCTAGCTCGCCAAGGAAAGATATCACTTGAAGAGATCAGCGCCAATACAAATTTTATCGTCAGCAGTTTTGAGTCCCTTGGCATGACGACAACCAACGTACACGAAGGAGATGATGATCATATTAACATCTCATGCAACACGATAATTGAAAAGGAGATCGCTGCTAGTGGAACAACTCCGTCTTCAAATGAAGTTTGTACCGTGATTGGTAAATGCATGTCAACAATGACTTTCGCTGATGAAGATTTACTTCTTGGTTCCAAACCACACAATAGGCCATTGTTTGTTGCCGGCTACGCTCGTGAGCAGAAGGTGAATAGAATTTTAATCGATGGAGGTTCTGCGGTCAATATTTTGCCGTTGCACACTTTAAAGGAGTTGGGGATCTCCACGGAGGAGCTCAAAACTAGTCGCTTGATGATCCAAGGATTTAATCAAGAAGGACAAAGGGCCCTTGGTATCATAAGGATAGAGTTGTTAATGGAAGATATGTTGTCCACCGCACTGTTCCATGTCATTGACGCAAGAACCTCATATCGCATGCTTCTCAGGCGACCTTGGATACATGAGAATAGTGTGGTTCCTTCTTCTTGGCACCAATGCTTCAAGTATTGTCGAGACGGAGCAGTTAAGATGATACTCGCCGATGATAAACCGTTCACCGAGGCAGAAGCTCACTTTGCCGATGCTAAGTACTATCTTGATGATGAGAAGACGGTGAAAGCCAAAGAAATTCTACCAGTCGAAGAACCAAAGCGAAGAAATAATCAAGACAAGGATCCTTTAGCGTGTGAGGCTTTGAAAGATTTGATGTTTCCCCTAACACCAATTGACGAGAAGCGATCAACTTCTCAACCGCCTAAAGGATTTGTTCATCCCACAGAAGGAACCCAAGAGGAATGCGAAGAATTCTCCGAGTCCCAAATGAAAAAATGTTTTGGCCCAAAAGCTTATAAACTCTTAGTGAAATCCGGTTACAACCCATGTGAAGATTCTATACTGGGAAGGCTTCCTGCCGAAGTTGTTGGCGAAAGAATGCATGGTCTCAATACTACTCAGATAATGTTGAAAGAAAAGGGACATGCTATTCAAAGTCCTCGAGTTGGTCTTGGATTTGTTCCTCAAAAGCCAATTCGTATTGCTATCAATAGAGCTACCAGTAATTACATAATCGAAGACGAATTCTCATCAACAGACGATTTTCTTGAAAGTGGGACAAAAGTGAGAAGGACATCCGTCTTTGATAGGCTTACACCATCTGTCTTCGATAGACTTGCGCCATCCGTCTTTGATAGACTTGGACCACTTAGAGAATGGGGGCATAAAAAAGGCGACAAACGAGGGTTTGATAGACTTACGCCATCCGTTTTTGATAGGCTTGGACCACTTAGAAAGTGGGGGCATAACAGAAGCAACAAGCAAGAGTTGGGTGTCTCTAATACTAAAATCACCAAAACACGAAGGATTCGAAGTTCGATTCCATCTCGCATGAAACGGCGTACTTATTTGACCATATCATGTGGTGAAGAGTTGAAGGCTAAAATACGAACCGTCGTCTTTACGAAAGTCCAAGACGACGAGGAAGATGACAGAGAAAGTGTGGCATCATCGTATCATATCACTTTAAGTGAGATAGACTTGATTGAGGAAGAAGACGCTGAAACTGCTCCACCCGAGCTTGAAGAAGGAGTCAAAGCCACGATCGATGAGTTAAAGGAAATAAATTTAGGAGACACAGAGAATCCTCG